AAGATCGCATAAAATTTGGTATGAGGAGCAATTGGTGCAGGTCTCCACACTTCAAAAGGGATTAATTTCAAAGGCCTTGAAGCTCTTTTTATTAGAACTGGGACAAGGAATTCCGACTCTTAGATAATGATGGAACTAAACCCTCTTTACATAACCTATAAACTGACTCGTGACTGTAATGACCTAGATGGTGATGCCAAACATTGACATCCTCAATCATTTGGAGAGACTAATGTTGTCCTTGTGGAATCCCCTCTTTACATAACCTATAAGAAAATTCTGACTCTCAGATAATGATGGAACTAAACCCTCTTTACATAACCTATAAGCTTCCTCGATTCATCATTCAAGACATATAGATGTCCTGGTGGAATCCTCTCAGCTAACGTTGTCCAGTACAACGGATCCTTCAAAAATACAGAGGACGATATAAAAGCAAAGTTTGACTTATTTTCTTGAGTCATTCAGAAAGAGAAATTAAGCTACACTTGATTTTAGGACTAAAAACATATTATTCAAAAAAAGAGACATATTATTCAAAAAAAGAGACCTTTGGAATTGTTTATAAGAACATTTCCTACATGTGTGATAGGGAGTGAGAACCCATCTCCAGTTATTACAGAAACACTACCAAGAGAAGTTGTGCGAGTTAGAAACTCACCAAGATCACCGTAACGTGGTTAGTTGCCCCACTATCAACAATCTATAATGATCATTCGATGAAGACAATGTCATGGCTACCATTGAAATGTTCAGGCCGCAGCTTTGTGTTCATTGTTATTTAAACTTTGTCCCTTTTGATTGTACCAATAATGATAGTTCACTGCGCCATAATTTTGGCAACCACAGATTTGACATGCCACATGCTATACCTTAGATTTACATTATGTGTATGATAATTGGGCTTAGGAAGAAGGCCATGCGATTGATTAGGTGTAAATGGACAGAATTTGCCTGCCCTTCCATGACCTCTATTGCCACAATCCTATCCAAGTCCACTTTATCCCCCATTAAATGTTGTAAAGTTGCTAGCCATGACTAACATATCATGAGAATCTTGATTCCGGTTGTGTTTCAGTGTAGGTTGCTATGGACGAGGGACTCGTAGTAACAATGGGTGCAACTCTGAAATTGTGGGAAATGGTGGCTTAATAGTGAATGAGGTAACGAACCATTTTATATTCATCCCTTAGGCCAACAAGGACATAGTCTACTTTCTCTTTATCACCAAAAGGTTATCAGATCATGGCAAGCTGATTACAAGATCCCATAGTTTTAAAAAGCATTAGGCGGGTCCTAGGCAGCCTGGACCCAGTGCCTAGGCGAGCACCCAGGCAGGCACTCAGAACCTGGGTGGCCCAATTGAATCCAAAAAGGATTTTACAGTTATATATTGTATAAAATATAAGAATTACGTATTTAGGGCACATCGAAATTCAAAGTATACTACACATTAGCACATACTCCATAAACATACCCATAAGTCGATCCATATCCAATTAAAACTTAAAATTTATCAACCAAATTACCAAACCAAAGTTACCAAATACCAAACCAGTGGAACTACAAATCCACTATCCACAATACCACAATACACAACCAAGAGGAAGAAAACAAAAATGAAAGTAATACTTTAAGACTCAAAAGAATCTTCAATAGTTCAATCAATGTTCAAAGTTTAATCATTATTCAACATTCATCACTCATCAATCATCATCTGAAAAGTTGGGTCAGCTGCATTTGCATCATATTCTTTGCCATCGAAGTCGTCACCCTACTCGACATATCGGTCTTCCTCCTCTGTCTCTTTTGAATTTGCCTCTTCTTCCTCCACCATCGTCTTTTGTGCAGAAGATCTAGTGGCCCTCGGACGGTCAGCTGATGTCCCTGAAGCATCCATGTCTATGTCCCATGTCAATCCTTCATGCCCCTTGACCTCATAATTGACCCGAACCCCAGACCTAATCTCTGCTATGGAGGCAAATCTCTCATCGTTTTTCATTTTTACCATGCTCAAAAAATTAGTTATTTCTTCTTTAACAGCATTAGGAGTCTTTTAACAAGGGGTAACATCCCCCTTGCTACCAGCAAGATGTTTCTCGAACCGGTTTATGCCCCCTTTTGTATCTTTCTCACAAAACTTCCATCTTATGCAATTTTTATCATTAGGATTTGGGTTGTAGCTATATTTCCAACCGAGATCACCACTCCTAATAGATCTCAAAGAAGACATCTCAAAATAATACAACTTATGCAAATAATAAAAAAAAATCACTTACTTTGATTGCTCAATCTCAAAACTGCCACTTTATAGATGCTTATAAGGAATCAAAATCTTCTAAAAAACCCCTAAATAGATTTATAAAACATCAAAACTTAAATCTAATATCAATGGATGATGTTTTGATCAATTTCTCATCACTTTGAGAAACCTTTCGATCCTAAAGAAATCACAAAAAACCAGTTTTTTCGGGGCTTTCTCCCCTCTAAAATGGGCTCTAATGAGTTTTAGGTTTCAAATGAACCTAAAACCCTCATTTTTTGCCCCTTAGTATAAAAACAAATGGACAAAAATAGCCCCACCGAAACCTTTTTTCTCCTCTGGGCGAGGCACTGTACTTGGGCGGCCGCCCAGACCTCGGCACTGGGCGGTCGTCCAGGTCTGAGCACTGGGCAGCAGCCCAGGGCGCCCAAGAACCTCCGCTTTTTTTGGGCGCCTAGGCCTGAGTGATGCGCCCAGGCCCCAAGAGGCCGCCCAGGCTCTGGGCTGTTCTCTTTTTGAAACACTGCAAGGTCCTCTAACTATGCTATAATATTCCATGATATTAACCTTTTCTTGTTTGCATTGCTGAAGTGCAAATTTCAAGTGCATAACACTTGAGCCTTACATAGTTTTGCAGCCATAGGCATTCTAATGACCATGAGGATTTCTTTAGAGAGAGTTGCATTGATCCACCCAATAAATTGTTGACAGGTAGGAAACCATTCTTCATATGCAGGATTTGAATGAGGCTTCCTTTGTTTCACTGGTCTCATCAATCTCACTTATGATAAGAAGTTTGGAAGGGGGTTCTAAAGAACCATCTAAATCTCCCATAAGTTCCTGGCCATGAACAAACGGTACAACGATAGCTTTCCAAATTATGAAAATTGTATGAAGTCAACCTTGATGGGTTAGAGAAAGACATTATATTGGGCTAGAAGCTGAAAAGAAAGAGGAAAAGATTTGCTATGGTTTCAGGAAAGGTTGTTGGAATCTTTGGCGCGCAATGGCCTATAGAAAGAAAGTGAGCACATGGAAATTAGGCACGTGATGCCCTAAGGCATAAAGAGAATTAGAGTTTCAAAGGAGAAATTTTAAGATTTTTGTCAAGACGAAGAAGAAGTGCTAGATAGCTAGGTACATGATGCCCTAGAGAGAGGAAATTAGGCAATTGAAGCCCAAAAAAAAGAGAATTGGAAACGTGATACCTATATGGATGGTTTTATGGACTAAAACTTAATACATTTAATTTAAGGGAAGGCGTGTGGACTCAATCTAATAGATATTTTCTCCCTAAGGGAGAATTTATTCCTAAGGGAGAATTTGTGGACTAATATAGTAAATCTAAGCTTCTAAGAAGGATTTTGGGATTTTGAATAATATGAAATCTTAAAAGAGACGAGAACTAGGGTTTCAAAGAGTGCAAGGGTTTGAAGAAGAAAATTAGAGTGATAGAAGAAAGGGGTGTGTAGAGAGGTTTATAAGAAGAGGAGATACAAAACCTTGTGTTAGGGTTCTGTGAAGAATAATGGTTGCTATTTGCTGAGAGAAGTTTTGAAGTGGCTGTTGTTTGTTGAGAAAAGATTGAAGAAGACGTTGGTACAAGATCCTTGAAGGGCCTAGAAGATCTAGAGCATTCAAACAAGCTCTAACATGATAATAGGAAAGCTTGGTGTGAAGAGAGAGTGAGAAAAAGAACAAGATTTAGAAACCGGACAGCCCAGGGCCTAGGCATTCTAGAAGGAATGGCCACACCGCCCAAGCCTAGGCGGCAAAAATAGGCGGATATCTCTAGGGGCCCATCTAGGTGCCCAGGAACCCGTCTAGGCAAGCGCCCACCCATGGGTGGAAATGCCACTCGTTGAACGCCCGCTCAAGGGTGGAAATACCACTTGTTGAGGGCATTTTTTTAATACTAAAGGGGTAAAATTGTGAAACCTATAACCCATTAGATCCTATTTTAGAGAGAGAAAAACCCTAAAAAACTAGTTTTTGGTGATTTCCATAGGATAGAAGGGTTTCTCAAAGTTATGAGAAATTGATCTAAGCATCACCCATTGATATTAGATTTAATTTTGGATGTTCTATAAATCTATTAGAGAGTTTTTTAAAAGATTTTGAGTCCTTGGAAATCGGGCCGCCCAGGTTCTGGGCGCCTGTCTAGACGTTGAGCGGCCTGGACCCCCCGGCTGCCTAGGTCCCGCCTAACGCTTTTTGAAACACTGATGAGTATGACATCATGGTTAAAAAAGAAAAAAATATATAAAATGGCTACAACATATATTTGTATATATATTTGCATTGCACAATTATGTCCCTTACTATGATGAGCATGACATCATGGTTAAAAATATATATATATATAATGGCTACAGCATATATTTATACATTAAGCAAGTGTTCTTAACAAAACATGGGTTGGAAAGTAGTCCTTTACCATTATTATATTTCCTAGAAAAACCAAGGTCTGTCAGATCTCAATTCCCACCAGCTAGACAATTTGGAGGTTGTAGTAGTGGGGACGATTAGGGGCATAACAGAAAACGTGGGCAAAAGAGAGGATGTTTACAATTTAATGCCCTCTAACTAAGTTGAAAACTCTTCAACTAAAAATGTATATAAGATGGAAGAGAAACCATATCCAGTATGATGTGAGCCCAAGAAAAAGTTAACAGCTAAATATTATGTATTCTACTAAAGAAAATAAAGTTCTAAAAAATTAAAATAATTTGCTTACTGTGCACACTCTGCAAGCTTTCCAAGGTTCTGGAAGTCCAATATTGCCAGAATTAACTGCTTATTTTCATCCAAGCACTGCAAAAGAATAAATTTCCTTTCATAAACTGAGAATCAAAAGTTTCATCCTCTCAAAAAGAAAAGATCCAGGTAGAAAACTTACAGGAGATATTTTCATCCAAGTATAGCAAAAGAATAGATTTCTTTTCATACAGTGACTACCAAAGGTTTCATAACGCTCAAAAGGAATAATCCAAATTGACAAACTTATTGGAAAAAAGGAATAAACCATCCTAATAAAAAATAGATTATGGATCTCCCATTTGGGTAGCCCAAATTACAACTATACGACCAATCAACAGAACTCCAAAGATCTGAGTTGCTCCAGTCAAATAAAATTTCAAATTCAAAGACATGAGTAGTTGAAGCTTAAACCCTACAGTTATGAGCTGCATTATTTCTCTTCTACAATCACTCACAATGTTTATAGATTTTCTTGATAACTTATAACCTACTTGTTACATATATTGATGCGGTCAACTGCGAATATTCAAATTTCATGGAATAAGAATGAAGCTCTTACATTCTGTAATCGTTGAAAGACTCATATGATTGCAGTTCTTACGATACATTCAAGTTACAAAGCTTCAATTATTTGAATCTGTGCAATAAGATGTATGAATGTCCCTTGGTCATTTTAGTTTGAAATAAAAATCACAAATGCTATCCTTGGGTTTTGTAGATGTACTTGGGTTTGTTTAATAACACAAAAGGGACTTAGATTAATGATGATAAGGATTTTCTGTAATTGTGTCTACTCAAATCCAAAAGCCGAATAAGTCTCTTGGATTATTTTTTTTTCTTGGACTTTCTCTCAACTCAAAAGTACTGAACATCAGATATCTCAAATACTTTAGTCCTAGAAAAAAATATCACATTACAAATTGATACAGAGGAAAGCAAACATTGACAATAAACAAATCAGATAAATAATAGACAAAAATAAAGAGTGAGAGATTATACCATCTCTCAAGGTTTGCAGAGGAGTCTACCCCAAAATAAATTATTTTCCTCTCTTCTCTACTTTGTTTTTTGGCCCAACTGTTACATATTTATAGAAGAGAAGACCCCTAAACGCCGACTTGCTCCATAAGAAATCCTCGTCGTTTATCTAGTAAAACTTAAACTCCCAATTCTCTACAATAAAAATTGACACAAATGCTCCAAAAAAAAAACTAGAAACCCATAATAATACTAAACCTAAATTTCAATATCCTAAAAAACTAAAAAACTAATTGCATCATTCTCCTAGGGTTAGGAGAAGCTCGACTTCGAGCTTGTTATATTCATTGTGTCCTTCAAAGGCCACATGAATAGTTGGTGATAAAGTCCCACCATCTCCATCTTTTTATAGACTTTAAATGATGTTTATAACTAATTTTTCTTTTTACCGCTTTTAATTTTAACACTTTAGTTGTATTTTTGGTGATTTTTTAGCCCATCTCTTGTAGGAACTCTACTCGGACTCCTCAAGTTACTCTGCTCGAGCAGGGACCAAATCCCTAGCCCATTTTAACATTTTAGTAAAAGAGCATGAAGGACCTAAATGATAAAATCATGCATTTATGATAAGCAGTATCCAAACCAATGATAGCTAAATGTAAAACACTTAGTTCCCTAAGCAAGGGTATAAATCCCAGATTCCAGGAGGAGTTCAAATATATCACATCATTTTAGTTATCTCTATTCAAGAATATACTTATAAAGCTACAGTTACCCTCAGTGTTCAAAAAATCAACTCGGCCAAGGTACTCAGCTCTTGGCCGAGCCGAGCTACTCAGGAGAGACCGAGTAACTCGCCCGAGTAGAGTTCGAGTTTAAAAAATAAAAAATCAACACAAATTAGAATATATATAATATATCTTTCGCTTTTATACTACTAAGCGTCAAATGGCATGGTGGTCAATGTCGCCGCTCTTATGAGTGCTCATGTGTGGTACGACTTTGGTTCGAATCCTCGTTTCTAATACTTTCTTTTCTGTTAAAAAACTAAGGTAATAAGGTAATGTAACAATAGATATAGAATTACCCTCACATTCTTGTTAAGAAATTATTTGGTGGCATGTTGGGTAGAGTGCGTGGTCATTGAGTAAGAGGTCTTCGTATCAAATCCCCTTCTCAAATCACTCTTGTTTTCTCTTACAAAAACAAGAAAAATGAAAAGGCAATAACAAAGGAGAGTTTTGAACCCCCACCATATTGAACAACAAACCTGCACACTATCCTACGCGCCACTTGAGTGCTGATTATTAAACTGGGAACATTATCATATATAACCATTAAAACTTTATGTACGGTATTCTCAGGGCAAACTCGCTTTGCCCATATGGCGAGGCCACGTTACTCAGCCGATATGGGCGAGATTTACTCGGCCGAGTCCGAGTAGAACTGGCCAAGTCTCGAAACTGGTTACCCTCTATAGAATAGAATATGTACTGACTCTTGGCAAAGATAATGCAATCAAAAAGGGAATGTGTGTTTTGAACCCATAATCTCTATTGCAACCAGAGTTCCAAATTTTTAATTCCCATAAAAGAGCAATAATTGGATGCTAATGAAAAAATGATCTCAAAGATACATGTTAGCAATCACACAACATTGCAGAGTAGCTAGTAGCATCCATCTTTCATCAAGAAGCAATCACCATTACGGACAAGGAACCATTAATCTAGAGAAATTGGAAGGCTTATGCGCTGGCCTAATGAAGGAAACAATGAAATCCATCAAGATTTCAGAGACCATAATCAGGAAACAACAAACGACAGCAAAAATAGGGCATGTGGCTACTAAGGAAAGAGATTGTGCAACAAAAAACGTAAATGAGTCAATCAAGAATCCTAGTAATCAAGAACAAATTATCAAACACTAACCATCATTTTAACAATTAAAAACGAAAACCAAATAAATGAGCAGAAACTTAGAGAAAAGAAATACGAACACCTATCCCAACAAAACCCAAATATCCATACATCATCAGAAAGGCTTCCAAATACACAAAATCAGTGACCCACTATAGCCAAAAATTACATAATCAATTTGCAGATGAAAGAGCTTACCTTCTGAATGTGCTCTGTTGTTATGCTGGCTATAGGTATAGGGGGGACTACAGCCTGCATTGGATGCTGCTGTTGCTGCATTCTCTCTCTCTAAACTTCCCCCCTCTTACTCTCTCTAAACTTCCCCCCTCTCTCTCGCTGATTCCAATCACTCCTTGAGCAAGAAACCAGAGAGCCCACAAAATTTGTCCACACGAGGTTCGGATTGGAAAGGAGCACACTTTGAAATCCCTGGTGGAATAAGCAAAAAGGCAATAGGAAAAGGCTGGAGAAATGTGCATACGAGGTTTATTTTCCCAATGCGGTGCGCCGTAGGTTATGTTCGGTGCACATCGAATGAGGCCGAAGTGCTACAGTTACTTTGCCAAAGCGGACCTTCACTTGATCCTACTCTTATAGAAAGCACTAATCCTAGTCTTATAGAAGAGATTTATGAACTGATAATGATGATCGAACATATTTTAAAAGGAGCTAAAATGACTTTTTTACCCTTTACTTCCCCGCCAAATTTCAATACTTAAAAGACAAACTATTTCCCCACTATACATATAAAGACATCTTTGAATGGATGCTACTCTTTCTAGTGCTTTTTTTTGTTTTTCGAATTGTTAAGTGCAAAACAAAAAATTGAAGTGTTAACAGTAGGAATGGAGTTTATGATACGTTATGTTGAATAGGGCTAGCAATTGGCCAAGCCTGGGCTCGGCTAGTCCCGTCCCAAATCCGGCCTTATTCCATTTGAATAGGGATGGTAACAAGCCAAGGACTAGGTTGGGCCAACCGCAGCTGTAGACCAACCTTATCCCCCTAAGGGCTTCCCTTGGTTGGGCTGGGGGCCCGAGAGCAAAATCAAAAGAAAACAAAAAAATAAGGGTCGGGCCGAGCTTGTCTTAGCTTGCAGCTTAGCCTTTGGGCCACATTTTGTAGCCCAAGGCCTAATTTTTGGGCCAAGCCACCTGGCCACGGCTATCCTTGGTGTTGAAGCACCTGCTCTCCTAACTACCCTTGCCCCAACCTGCTTTCGAAACCAAAAGACTACTGCTGCTTTACAAGCAATGCTCCAAAAATCATGTAAATTTTATATTGCATTTACAAGCAATGTTCAAACCCGATCATCTTGACTTTGAGGTACATGAACATAAAATAAATTGGATTTCAAGTCTTGAAAATAGTGTCATATTGTAATGCATTATCTCGACCGTCAAATTTCTAGATTTTCAAGTGTTCATAGATCTGCTTGATCTACCTTTTTTTTAAGCTTTAAATTTTATAATTAGATATGAAAATATATTTCTAGTCATCATAAATATTTTCAGTGCTGCAAGGACATCTTTCGATACTATTTGAATGTTCGCCTTACTTTGATTGTTTAGAGCCTCGGCCTTAAACCAACAACACCCTTTTATTTATTTCATTTCATGTGCACTTTTAGTTTTTTTATTTCTCCTTTATTTTGAATTCCAAATGCGTCTAGAATCTTTGTAAATTCGTTCGGCCTAAAAATGTATAAATTTGGAGCTCTAAAAATGTTGCTGATGAGAATTTTTAAAGAATTCAAATGAATGGTCAAACGAATGTACATGACAAACACTTTTAGGGCACAATCCTGTTGTCCCAAAAAACTGTTGAGACCACAACACCTTATATAAAGCTAGCTCCCTGACGAGTACGGGTTTATCTTCCCACTAAATTACTCAAAAAAAAAAGAAGAAATCTTGGATGTTGACATGATAGAAATGTAGGGTTTTAAATTGTCGATCCAACTTCTAAATGGATTTTGTTTAGGGTGTGGTTGTATAGAGTTGAGGCTCTAAACAATCAAATTATAACCCATCTTAAAATATTGTCAAGAAATATGGTTTTAATACTGAAAATCTTTGTAATAGTCTTAATATTTTTATTTTTAATTATAAAATTTAAAGCTTCAAAAATATTGTAGATCGAGTAGATATGTGAAAACTTGAAAATATTGAACGTGCAAACCTTTGTTACAAGATACACTATTTTCAAAACTTGAAATTCTTTTTTTTCTTATGTCCATACATCTTGATGTCGAGATGATCAATTTGAGAATATTTAGGCACCAAAACATCATCTTCTAGTAAATTTTTTGAGGTGGGCTCTTGTTTGATTGTTTAGAGTCTCTGCCCTATATAAACTTTTATCTTTTTTTTTTTATTAATACAAAAATTAAAAATATTTTGAAATTTATATTATCTTTGTTTATTGAGATCTTTTATGATTACTCTAAATTCTTAGGCTTCTAAAATTTATTTGTGACTAATTTTCAAAATGAAGTTTTAGGTGTTTCCATAAATTAGTTATTACCATTAGTATTAACGCTTTTAAGCAAAACAAATAGATTGTAAGCACATATTTTGTATAATTCACAATAGTCTCCATTGCTTTTTCAACTTTTCTTTAATAATCAAAATATATTTTATTAAATTATCATACTTTCCTATTGGATATCTCTAAATATTCCTTACTATAAAATTAGGAAACTTGATTTATTTCTTTTAAAATAATAATTAAGATCGTTATCTCTTAATTTGAGAAGCTTCATCATTTTATTGGAATATTTAGTTTTTTCTATTTTTATTTTATGTAAATTTAATGATATTTTAATGTGGGTTTTGTTATATATATATTAAGGAGATATATTACTCCAGGTCATTCATTCTTTTTAAGGACTTATTTCTTGTAAATCTTAACTTATTTAAATAATCTTGTTATATTTGTCAATTAATTTCTTTTACAGTCATTATGAATTCTTATGCTTTTGAAATTTATTTATGAATAATTTTCAAATTTATAATTATGAAATTTATTTTTGACCAATTTTCAAATTTATAATTCAGTAAAATAATTAGATTTTGAGCACATATTTTATATAATTCTCTCTAGGCCTTTATTTTCCCATTTTATATTTTCCCAACTTTTCTTCTGAATTAGAATGTTTTGATTGAATGTTTATATTTTCTAGTACACAGTTATCGATAGTATTTTTCCTCATTTTATTTTTCCCCAACTTTTATTTTTAATTAGATTGTATTTGTTTTGAATTTTCATAGTTTTCCATTACAAACTTTTAAATATTCTTTAGTACAAAAATAGAGAACCATATTTCTTTCCTTAAAAGAAATTTATTGAAGTTATTGTTTTGTTTAAGAACTTTTATGCTTTAGAAAGCAAGCATTAGAAAATAAAATAAAAATGTTTCAATTAAGCAAGTGAATGATTACAAATTTGGTGGGTTCAGAGTCTTCCAAGTTGGTCTTGGACCACCTTAGACTACCCAGTTTTTTAGATTTCAGAGAAGCCCTTTGGGTCTCTTTTGTTAGCCGTGGGCTGATCTTGAGATTTATCTTGCTTACAAATTGTTTTCATCATATATTCTCCATCCGACTCAATTCTAGCCCATTTGCATCGGTTTCTACTGATTTTCATCATTGTTTCTTACTTTGCGCTCCACAATACATCAGCTCAGATCTTGCCAGATGGTTTTAGGGTAAGTTTTCAGTCAACTCACTGCGACTAAAATCTTAGGCTTACCAAGACCCTAATATTAAGCTTAACCTAGGTATTAGACTCAAACATTTCCCTTTCAACCCAAATTCACTTCAGCCATGAAAGGCCAAACTAAGCTTGAAGAAACCTAAAGCTCAATGCCAAGAAGCAGACTGTTAGGTTTGGGTAGTGGTGATGGTTGTTGAACGGTGAAAAACTTAACAGACTGTCAATAGCTGGAACGTAAGATCGATAGCTTCAACCCACGACTGATAGTTTGAACTTATGATCGATAGCTTGAACTCATGACCGATAAATTGAACTTACGACCGAGAGATCTAACTGCCCTCTCATAGGTGGAACTTACACTCGATGCGCCTTGCACTAACTCTCATCCTGAGAAAAATTCGGTAGCACCTCCCCTAGAACAAAATAAAGCTTGGATTGTACGAAAAAGCTCCTAGTACCAGTCGGACTTCTGTAGGAATCGGAATATGGATTTGGAGGTTACATCTGGAAAAACAAAACACTCCTAGTGCTAGTCGAACTCCCGTAGGTGTCGGAATCTGGATTTGGAGGTTATAGAATGGGGCAACAAAGATCAGGATCTAGAGGCACGAGAGGAGCTTTCTTTCTTCAAAGTGTTGATCACCCCCTACCCAGTACAAAACCGAGATGCAATAGGATATCTGGTGAGCACACTCCCAGGATACAGTCAGATCATAAACAATCATAGTTTTTGAGTTGCATACTTAGAAAACTCTCTAAAACAACATCAACTAAACTGATCTTACTTGAATGAAAAAGAGACATCAAGAAAAATTCTATGAGTTCATTTTTTCTGGGAAATACCTCAAATCCTTCTTCAAAATGTTGTTGGAAATCTCCTTTAACTTCACTCCCTTCACTCTCCCAAATTCATACATCTCCATATGCTTTATCTCTCTTGCCCAAGGCTTATATAATATAGAAGTAATATGATATAGGGAGAGTAGAGAAGTGGCAACTAAAGAGAGAGAGAGAGAGAGAGAGAAAGAGAAGGACACATAGAGAATGTGTAATGCCAAATGCAAGGACACTTGTCTACCACGAGGGCAAGGAGGTAAGGTCATCATGACCAAGCAACAGTTAAAAATCAAATAAGACTAAACAAAAATGTAGGAGGATGAAGTAATGGTCCATGCATACTCAAAGAGCATAATGGACCATCGCCAATATTAACATTAAAAGGATTTTGAAACTCCGAAAAATTTTAAATACAAATTAACAATCCCCCACCAGTTTCAAAAGCCTACTAGACAGGAAGAAAAGAAGTTAGATCAGAAAAGGAAATACATAAACGAAGGTGTCATTCAGACTTGAACCTCTATGTAGTGTTATATAAAACACTTATCAGGATAGTGAGTGAACGAACCTTGAACTATGTCCATAAAAGATAAGCCTCCCATATACCACATATTTCCTTTCAAAAGTGGCGATTTTCTAACTTGCGCATTAAAGGCCCTACGCTCTAACTGGTTTTCATGAATGTTCTAGGGAATGCCCAGTTCCCATAGGAGGCGGCCTCCACTTCCAAACTCATATAGATGAGTCCATGGAAGATGATTTGCAGTGCAATATCCCAGCCTAGGCCTTACATCATCTAGGCAAATGGAATCGTTAAGAGCCATGCTCACCCTCTCTACTCATTGCAATAATTGTAGCAACAACATGGATGAGGCAAAAATCCATTAAATAAAATTTGGTGCAAACATCCATCAGACATCACTCGATACTACCTTGTCCTTATCTAGGGTTCCCCTCACTCTGTGGCAAAATGATAATAGGCATCAATCTCATCCCTCTAGTTGTCTTCCAGACTTGGTCCCTTGC